AGCTCCTTGGTCAGCAAATCCACTTTTGTGATCTCTTGGCCATTGACCTCATTTTTCTCCTCTGCCACCTGTGGTTCTGTGACAGCATCCAAGTTTTCTTCATATCCCTTTCTGGGCCACTGTCGTGTTTTGGCAGCTTCCTTTTTTTTTCTGCTGCCTTCTTGGCCAGGTTACAGGGCATGGTGATGAACTACAGGAGTAGCTTACTGTTCTTTCAGGGAGTTGGGCCTCGCCGCTCTGCCTGTCACCACAGAGCTGCTCCTCTACACTCTACCTTGTTACCTCAATTTGTCTTGTCCCATACTGCTTTATTTGTCGTTTTTGTTTATGAGTTTTATGGTTTTGTTTGTTTAATCCTCACCTGAGGTATGTATTTATTGATTTTAGTGAGAGAGAAACATCGATTGGTTGCCTCCCATATGCACTCTGACCGGGAATCAAACCTGCAACCTTTTTGGTGTATGGGACAACATTCCAACCAACTGGGCCACCTGGCCAGGGTGAGTTTTATGTTCTTTAAGCATGAGAAGCCTTTTCTGTGAAAATTTTTTCTATTTTTGTGGTATTTTGGTTTTTTGGTAGTGATTTTTATATAGTCATGCTGTGTGTTAAACTTGTGTTTGACATTGGCTGCTCTGTGTTGACTTGCTTTTTATTTAATTACGGTGTGGATGGGTTCTTAGTACCTCTCTTGGTTTCCCCTCAGACACTCATTTTAAAGATTAAGTACAGATGGGGTGGGGGAGAGGCAGGCTCTGGCATACCTGCTGGCTATGGGCAGTTATGATTGGTGATTTTAGCTCTGGTTTTTGTAAATACATGTTCTTTTCCCATGGGGAACATCCAAATATTTGTCCCCAATTTTGATTGAGTATAAATTTGATTCCTGACAGAAAAATAGACCAGAAGTTGGTATCTCCTCATATGCTCCTGTCTCCAGCAGCTATTTTTTTGTGTTTACTCCTAGCCAGAGGATGGTTAATATAGACTTAAGGGTTGTAACTAGGGAACTATTCATCTATTTGGGACTTTAGGTGGGGAGGGGGATAACTTTTTACCCTGGGCCTTTATGGAGGTCCTCATTCCATTCTGTTTCATTAATTATTCTTGTCTTACTTCTTTTCTCTCTACTTTAGATTCTGATAAATTCCTTTTAACCCCTCCCTATGAATCTTCGCCCAACCCCCTCAACTGCACTATACCCCTGTACACACACATACACACTGCATTCTGAAATTGTGGGATAGAGACTGGATTCCTGATGTTTTTCCCTATTGTAGTTGGCAGTTTTTCTAAGTTTATGGTATGCAGTTAGGCCACTCTTAGTTTAAATGCTCCAGGATTTATTTGTTGTGTTATGGTTTGCAGTTCTGCTTTGCAACACTTAACTTTCCCAGGGTGGTCATGGTTCTGCTTTTTTAAGCCATTTCATAAAATGTTTAATAGTGAAAGCATAACTTTGTATGATGCCAGGCAATATACTGTGTTTCTTCAAGGTAAATAATTATTCTAAGGTAATGAAAAACTGTTTCTCTGAGATCTAGAAGGGGGCAGATTTTATGCTTCCAGGATCAGTAGTAATGTCTGGCACTGGATTCAAGGAGTGGGAGATTGACAAGTCAGGTGCTATATACATGCTGGCTCTGTCCTAGCTATTTTTTAAAAAATTTTGTGATTCACCTTGACAGTTTTCAAGTCTATTTTGGAAACCTTTTAGTTCTTTTTTTAATAGATAATAATCTACAATGATGTACTGTATTTTTTTAGAGAGTAAGATCTGCTTTTTTTATTTCAAAGCCTTGGGAAAATCCCAAATTATATGTATTCTTACATCCTTTTCTCTAGCTAGTCTCCAGTGCTGTGTTTTGTTAGACTCCCAGAAAAATGGGTGAGATTGTGCTTCTCTTGCTGCTTCTTGAAAGAGCTTGACTGTCCAGTTTGTTTCCATTTCTTTTATTCTAAAGTATTCTTTTTTTCTCCACTTCCTAATCCTCATTCTGGGATATGGGAAATGGAGAAGACCTCACTGCTTTCAAGTTTAGAGTAATGGCCTGTCTCTTAAATTTTAAGACAACTCATTTCATGTTATGAAAAACAAAGAAAGGAAGTGGTTGGCTTCCACAGTAGAAATCATGACTGATGGAATGACCCCAGGCCCAGGGCATGGTTTTCAGATTTCTTAGTTCAGTAACACTTTTACTGATTCTCGGAGGTGTCATCAAAATCTGGATATTGATTTGCACTAAGCTTTTATGAGGTTGGTAAATCAGACTTCTGAACTTTCACTAAGAAGTCAAACTGATTAATAATTAATAGGACTGAAATACTAACCTCAGCTGGACAGCGCAGTTTCTTCATTGTTAAATTCTATTTGGAAAAACCAGTAAAGATCAAATGATTGTTTTTTAAGTAGAATCTGATCAGAATAATGGCATTTGGGTGATCTTAAGGGATGTTATCAAATTTTGATAGCCTTACACAGCATTTTATATTTTCTGGGTTATTAGTGGTATATCTTTATCATTCAGAAAGGGCACTTGCTTCGCCAGAATGTCGTCTAGACAGAATGGAAATGGTTCTTGATGGTGTAGTTCCATGTTAGGTATTTTGTATCAGTCTATAAAGTCAGTTGTTTTTCTATTCTGAAGAAATTAACATATAAGAGGACAGTTTTTAAATCAATAATATTTAACAAAACAAAAAAATATATGTGCTGTTTCTTGCGCAGATAATTATTCTCACCATTTATATTCTTTGTTCAAGCAACTTTTTAGGATGACTTGCCATTTTCTGCATTTTGACTACACAGTCAGCTCTTTTCTGTGTTTGAAAAAATAGCACTGCTTCCCATCTGTAGGGAGGCAGCATAGCACAAAGTAACTAACTTTAACTTTTTTCTTATTTTTTATTGTGGGAAATATACGTAATATAAAAATTTATCATTTAGCCCTGGACAATGTGGCTCATTTAGTTGAGTGTGATGCTGTACACCAAAAGGTCACCAGTTCGATTCCTAGTCAGGGCACATGCTCAGGTTGCAAGTTCGGTCCCTGGTGGTTCTGTGCGTATGGGAGGCAATCGATCCCTCCTTCCTTCTCTAAAATCAACAAAAACATATTTTCAGAAATTTACCATTTTAACTGCTTTTTTTTTTTTTTTTTTAAATATATCTTTATTGATTTCAGAGAGAGGAAAGGAGAGGGAGAGAGAGATAGAAACATCAATGATGAAAGAGTCATTGATCGAACCCACAACCCGGGCATGTGCCCTGACTGGGAATCGAACCCCGATCGCCTGGATCCTAGGTCGACGCTCAACCACTGAGCCATGCCCGGCCGGGCTTAACTACATTTTTAAGTGTAGTGTTCAGTGTTGTTACATTCATAATATTATGTAACCATTACCATCTCAATAACTGTTCTTGTAAAACTGAAAATATATGCTCAATCAACAGTAACTTCCCATTCTTCTTCCCCCAGTTCCTGGCAACTTCCATTCTACTTTCTGTGTATGATTTTGACTATTCTGAGTACCTCATATAAGTGAAATCATACAGTGTTTGAATTTTTGTGATTGGCTTTTTTCACTTAAAAAGTAGCTTTATTTTCAAAGCCTGATTCTCTTCCCAGTCTTGTAACACTGGTTAAATTGCTTAAACCGTTTTGAGCTTCAGGTTTCTGTTGGTAAAATGGAGTTAATTCCAACTCTGAACAAAGAACTAGCAAAAGACTAAATCTGGAGAGGTTAAGAGGAAAACCAAGAGAAAAGATATCCTGGAAGCCTAGTGAAAGAAATGTTTCTAGGAGGGAGGGATTATCTACATCAAGCATTGATCATAGAACAAGTAAAAGGTCTGAGAAATGACCTTTGAATATAACAATGTGAGTTCACTGATTTTCTTCTTGATGGTTTTTTTGTGGAAGTTAAAAGCATGTACTGACTTGGATGGGTTTAACTGGGAGAAGAGGACTAGGAGACTGAGATCATACACAACTCTTGAGGATTTTTGTTTGTAAAGAGGAGAGAGAAAAAAGTGTGGAAACTGGAGGGAGAAATGGGGTTAAGACTTTACATAGAGGAAATACCATGTATATGTATAGAAGGTAAAGCTTAAGTATGGAGGGAAAATTTGACATTGGAGCTAATTGCTGAGCAGTGTCCAGTGAATTGCTGAGCAGCAAGGTGATGGGGTAGGATTAAGTGCCAAGAGGGCAGACACTTTGTCTCAAGTAAAAGAGTATAGATGGGCGTAGGTCAGAGTTCATACAAAGGCCTCTTCTGGTTTTCTGTTTTGATGAGAAAGTAGAAGAGCAGGAAGATGAAGGAATGAGTGTTGGAGATTTGAAGAAGTCATATAGGAGAAGGGGCTAGGAGAATTTACAGTATAATGAGTCCATTTGAGGGAAATGATTGCTGACTGGCTCTCTTTAACTTCACATGGTGGTAAGTTTTTCTCTAGCTATGTTTAGCTGTATATGCAGAGAATTGGTTAAAGTGGGTTATGGTTCATCCAGACTAATAGGTGAAGTGAGATCAGGCAAGAAGTTTGGGGGAATATGCATAAGAGTGAAATTTCATTCCACTTAAATATTTCACAATGTGTCTATAAAAGGTAAGGATTTAAAAAAAAAAAAAAAAAAAAAAAANGTTAAAGTGGGTTATGGTTCATCCAGACTAATAGGTGAAGTGAGATCAGGCAAGAAGTTTGGGGGAATATGCATAAGAGTGAAATTTCATTCCACTTAAATATTTCACAATGTGTCTATAAAAGGTAAGGATTTAAAAAAAAAAAAAAAAAAAGACAAGCAAAATGAACAATATATCGACTTATGTTTAGTTTTTCAGATTTGTTCAATCTTCCATTTCTCCAAGGAGCTCCTAATGGGAGATGGTATTTAGAGATCATAATATGGGTGTCTACTTTTTAGAAAGGTGGTGGTGTTATTTTCAGTTATTTGAGTCTTCATAATACTGATTGGTTTCTTTTCTTAATTTAACAGGCATGCCCAAAGAAAAATACGAACCCCCTGACCCTCGGAGGATGTACACAATTATGTCCTCTGAGGAAGCAGCAAATGGAAAGAAATCACATTGGGCAGAGCTTGAAATAAGTGGTAAGACAGACATGCAAGCATAAATTTATGATGTGGAAATTAAGACATGGTAGAAAATTAAGTTTTTAATGCCAGTACATAAAAGAAGCAATGTTGTATTCTACCAGCACTAATTTATCTTGGAAGCAGGAAGGTCCAGTGGGAAGAACATGGTTTCAGTAAAAGTTCAAAATCCATTCATTGCTTATGCTCTCAGTACAGTGTCCTTTTATAAAATCAGGATAATATCAAGGATGAAATGAAAATAAAACGTGAAATGCCTCATGTGCAAAGGTTTGTTAGGATAGGATTGAACTTTTGCATTATCAAATTACAGATTTCTAGTGGTGTTAGATCTGTTTGCTTTAGTATAAATTCTGGGATAGATTTGTTTTTCCTCACTTTCTTCATTTGCCTTTTTTAGTCTGCGTCTCTGAGGACAGCCCTATTCAGAAACACAAAATCTTAAAAGTTTGAAGTATATCTCAAAGTTCCCTTCTACCTTTAGTGATTCCTAGACATTTTCCAAGAAGTATATGAGTCCCCAGATCCACAGGATATCCCCAGCATCCCTGCCTGTGGACATACAGTTTTTGTTTTTTTAATACTTGAAAGGTGATGAAGGGATATTACTTCTGAAGCAACCATTGTTAAAGAAGTTTTGTGTTAAGTTGGCCTAATATGACTCCCCATACTTTCCTGAAATGATACAGAGCAAGTTTTCTCTTCTTTTTGTCTTTGATTGTGTTTTTAATGCATACAGTAAACATACATATGCTATGTGTAAAATATATTACCAGGTGCATATGGAAGATATATAAATGAAAAAATACAGTCCCAGTCACTCCGGAGCTTACGGCATATTAGGGAGTGAAAAGAAGGGAGTGTACCAGTATAAATAACTAATAAAATATAACTGCTAGGCCTAGGTAGAAAAGTGCTATACATGAAGCAAAAAGGAAATAATGATAACAGTATTCTTCCCTTGCGAGCTCAAAATTTCTAGTTAACCTAATGAGTGAGTAAACTCAGAACTCCCTTCTGTGCAGCCAGAGAGGTTGGTAGCCATGTGGGTCTCTCCTGGTTTCCCTCTCCTGATTTTTTTCGGTGCTGGTCTTAATTAAACTGAGGTCAGTTTCATAAAGTAGGTGTGGTAGAGAGTGACATTTCTCTCTTCTTTCTCTTCTGTCATATTTGACTTTCTTGGGTTAGGGGAGCCCAAAGAGAAATATGTTCTCTCATTTACCAGTTACCTTCAAAGCACAGGCAGGCACCACTCCCACTTGGCCCTCTTAATTTCTTCAGGACCAGTATTTAACTGTATTTTTCTTTTGTTTTTTAGCCTGTGTTAGCAGTTTTTTAATTAAAAGTTCTTTATATAGAGAGAAGTTTCCCCTTATAACATCAGCATTAGCAAGATAATATGAAATTTGGGTTCAGTGTTCTCTCTTTACTCTGAACTTTGGAAAGTAATCTTCATACAGGATGGGAAGGAGGAAGAGGAGAGATTTATCTAAAGTAGCACTCTTAACAAATAGTCTTATCTTTAATAGGTACAATAGAGGATAAACTGTTGGTTGACTAAGTTTATGGACCTTTCAGTTCATGGGCTGACACTAACCACTGAGCCACACCAGCCAGGGCTATAGTCTCTTTTTATTTTATTTTTATTGAATTTATTGGGGTAACATTGGTTAATAAGTTATATATGTTTCAGGTGTTCAATTCTATAATACATCATTTGTATTTCATGTTGTGTGTTTACCACCTTGAGTCAAGTCTTCTTTCATCACCATTTATTCCACCATTACCCTCTTCGACATCCTCCCTCTGGTAATCACCATACTGTTGCCTGTGTCTGAGTTTTGTTGGTTTGTTTGTTTTGCTGTGAAGAATATAAGATTCTTTTTTTTTTGGTCTGTGGATGTCCAGTTGTTTGTTCTGAAACCATATGTTAAAAGACTGTTTTCTCCATTATATTGCCTTTGCTCCTTTGTCAAAGATCACTTGACTATATTTGTGTGGGTTTATTTCAGGGCTCTATTCTGTTCCAGTGATCTATTGTTTGTTCATTCATCAGTACCACACTGACTTGATTGCTGTAGCTTTATGTAAGTCTTGAGTTGGATACTGTCTGTCCTCCAACTTTGTTCTTCAATTTTGGATTGTTTTTTTGTGTCTGTTGCCTCCTCATATAAACTTTAGAATTAGTTTGTTGATATCCCCCAAATGACTTGCTGGGCTGTTAGTTGATATTGCATTGAAGTTATAGATCAAGTTGAAAAGAACTGACATTCTGACAGCATTGAGCCTTCCTATCCATGAACATGGTATATGTCTCCATTTATTTAGTTTTTAATTTTATCATCAGTTTCACAGTTTTCCTCATGTAGATCATGTGTATATTTTGTTAATTTATACCTCACTGTTTTTTTTTACCAGGGTGTTAATGGTATTGTGCTTTTAATGTCAGATTCTAATTGTTCATTGCTGGTATATAATAAAGCGGTTGATTTTGAATCTTTTTATTTGTGATTTAAAAATTTTTTCACCAACTTTTCTAAAAGTTCTCCTTTTGCAGTTATTCATTATGAAGTCCTTTGTAGTTTAATTCTTTTTCCTGAGTTTTTCTAAGTCTTATTTATGTTCTTTTAGTGCTTCTATCATTTTTTTAATATGTTTTTGCTTATTTTGAAATTGTATGTAATAGCTTTCTGGACTTGCTTGTGGTAGGAATGCTTTTGTTGTCTGTAGGGAGTTATTCTGGTTTTTATATTCTTTTTTCTTAAAAATATATAATACCTTTTATGAAATTTGACCTTATAATATTTCTGTTCTATTTATTTATTTATTTACTTATTTATTTATTTATTTATTTATTTATTGTGCATTGTATGAGACTTTCTGGTTTTGTTCTCTTTTCTCATTTTTATCTGGGCCTTTTTCCCCCATCTCTCTTATTCCTGTTCTACTGAATTTTAATTACATTTTTGGAGTTTTGTCCTTATTGTGGAGACTTGGCTGGTCAGTTTGTAGAATTTTTAGGGCCTAGACTACTTTCAGACTTACTGTGGACACTTGGCACTTGTTACTGAATTGTACTAAACCCCTCCCAATTGTAATGATGTTCTCTGATTGGTGCTTTCTAATGGATACTAGTTGGTTCTCTATTTTCAGTTCCTTTATATACGCTTACTGTTACTGATATGATTGGGTTTATGTCTGCTGTCACATGATTTACAGTTAACCCTTGAACAATACTGGGTTGAACTGTGAGGGTCCACTTATTCATACACAGACTTTTTTTTCTTTTTTTGTTAATCCTCATGCACAGATTTTTTTTTCATTGATTTTTAGAGAGTGGGGGGGGGGGCAAAGGAGAGAGAAACATCAATTTGAGAGAGACACATCAATTGGTTGCCTCTCGCATGTGCCCCAACCTGATCCGGGATCGAACCTGCAATCCAGATACGTGCCCCCTTGACTCCAAATCAAACCTGGGACCCTTCAGTGTGTGGGCCAACGCTCTAACCACTGAGTCACGCTGGCCAGGATGAGATTTTTAAAATTTATTCACTTTTTTTTGCTCTACTATCAGTGGTTTATTACAACAGATACATCTCAGGAGCAGCCAAATAGAAGAGATACATAGGGCAAGGTATGGGGAGAGGGGGTGCAGAACCTGGGTATACTCCCTGGGCATGCCATCCTCCAAGCATATCAGTGTCTGTATACATATTTTTTAAATTAAAAAATTCCTGTACTGTTTTTAATCCATAGTTGGGAGTACAAGGATGCAGATAGCTGACTGTATGCATTGATCTACACCATTTTGTATAGGGGACTTTAGCATCCTCAGATTTTGGTGCCTGGAACTAGCACCTCCTTCCTCCAGATACCAAGGAGCAACTTTAGTTTTGGGGGAGTTAATAATTATATGCTCCTGGCCGGCATGGCTCAGCAGTTGAGCATCGACCTATGATCTAGGAGATAGAGGTTTGATTCTCAGTCAAGGCACATGCCCGGGTTGTGGGCTCTGCCTCCAGTGGGAGACGTGCAGGAGGCAGCCAATCAATGACTCTCTCATCATTGATGTTTCTGTCTTTCTCCTTCTCCCTTCCTCTCTGAAATCAATAAAGACATATTTGGGGAAAAGGTTATATGCAATTTTCATCTGTATTGAGGGGGTTGGCACCCCTAATCCCCATGTTGTTTAAGGGTCAACTGTATTTTCCATTTCTTTTTTTGTTTTGGATTAACTAGGTTTTTTTTGTAAAGTTGCATTTTATCTTCTTTGTTGATTAATTAGTTTTATGCAACTCTTGAATAATGGTTGCTTTAGGGTTTATAATCTATAGTATATCAGTAATATTATACCACTTCACACATAGTATGAGCCTTAACAACAACACACTTCTGTTTCTCTTCTCCTGGTCATTTTTTTAAAAATATATCTTTATTGATTTCAGAGAAAGGAAGGGGGAGGGAGGGAGGGACATCAGTGATGAGAGAGTCATCATTGATCGGCTGCCTCCTGCACGCCCTCCACTGGGGATTGGGCCTGCAACCCGGGCATGTGCAACCAGGAATCGAACGTCGATCTCCTGGCTGCTAAGTCGATTCTCAACCGATGAACCACGCCTGGCCGGGCTCTTCTGGACTTTGTTCTATTGCTGTCACATATTTTACTTCTATATATGTTATAAATCTCACAAAATGTTGTTATTTTGCCTTTACAATAAATATTAGGAAAAGTTTTATTTAAAAAAATTTTTTGATTGATTTGAGAGAGAGAGAGAAGCATCGAATGGCTGCCTCCCATGTGAGCCCCAACCGGGGACCAAACCCGCAACCTGAGTATGTACCCTGACTGGACATCGAACTGGTAAAAGTGTGAGTCTGTCATAGTATTTATTTATTTATTTATTTAAATATATCTTTATTGATTTCAGAGAGAGGAAAGGAGAGGGAGAGACAGACAGACAGACAGAAACATCAATGATGAGAGAGTCATTGGAGAT